TCATTTTATAGAATATACAGTGTGTGTATATTATCAAGTTTTGGTGCTAGGAAATTCTGACCTCATAAAACAAGTTGATGAATGGTTCTTATTTCTGTACTCTGGAATAATTTAAAAAGAGTTTTTAACTTTCTTTTGAACCTGTTTCAAAAAGTTATAATTTTTGTCAGGCACCAGTGGGTCATGCCTGCAATCCTAGCTACTTGGGAGGCTGAAATCAGGGAAGATCAGGAGGATCCATGGTTCAAGGCCAGTTCAGGCAAATAGTTCACCAGACCCCATCTCCAAAGTAACCAGAGCAAAATGGACTGAAGGTGTGGCTCAAGTGGTAGAGGTCCTGTTCTGTGAGCGTAGCTCACAGTCCCACCAAAGGGAAAAAAAGTTGTTATTGTTTTCTAGGACTTCTACAGTTTTATTTATGTTTTTGAATGTATTGGTATAAAGATATTCATTATTTCCACTCATTGCCTTCTTAATACATATAGGATTTGTTAAGTGGGTACTTTTTTATGCTTCATGTTATTTTGTGCTCTTTTTTGCTTCACAGTGTTTCAACTCTATTTGTCTTCTCAAAGAATCTACATCTGCTTTTAAAAATTTTAGTAATTAATGCTTTTATGTTTATTTTTTCTTTTCTAGCATACTTTGGTGTATTTTGCTGCTCTTTTTGTAACTTTCAGTTCTTTTCTAATATGAACAACACAACCTTCCCTGATAGTGATGCTTACCTGTATTTTTAAAATGTTCACATATAGTATTTTCATTATAGTTTGGTTCTAAATATTCTCTAATATTTATTGAGGTTTCTTATTTGATCAATGAATCATTCAGAAGTGTGCCTCTTAATGCCTAAATTTTTTAGAATTGTCTTTTATCTAGTTTAGATAAATGTATACTAGTTACATAGATAACTAATTTCGAGAAATGTTAAGTTTTATTGGAATCAGTGTTCAAGGTCTGTGTACCAACTTTTGTGAAATTGGTTAAGCCTCATGTCATGACACATAGCAACTCCTCATGAAAGTAGTTTTAGGTGTCATTATTAAGAAAGCACATTATCCCCCTGTGAGTGTAATGTTCTGTGTATGCCCATTAGATTAGCATGCTTATTTTGTTATTGAAACCTTCCTTCCTTGGTCATTTTGCCTGCTTAACCTATCAATTGCTGAAAGCTATATTTTAAGTTTTCCCAATTGACTATTGACATCTCTGCTTTTCTTTTAGTTCTGTCAATTTTTTTGCATTAATAACTTTGAGGCTATCTTATTAAATATATACAAGTTTAGGCTAGATGTGATGATACATGCCTTTAATCCCAGCTACTCAGAAGATGGAGAGCAGGAGGATTGTAGTTCAAGGCCAGTCTAGGCAAAAAGTTAGCAAGACCCCATCTTAACTACCAAGCTGAGCATAGTAGTACAAGGCTGTAATCCAGAGCTACCTGGGAGGCATACATGAGGAGGTCACAGTCCAAGGTGGGAGCTACACCCTATCCAAAAAGTAACATAGGGTTGGGGGTATGGCTCAAGTGGCTAGAGTGCCTGCCTAGCAAGTGCAAGGCCCTGAGTTCAAACTCCAGTACTGGAAAAAAAAGAAAAGCATTAACTCAATCTGATCTGCTCTCCGAATGACTGGAATAGTTTGTTATTATATGTATAATATATATATATATATATATACATATATATATGTATGTATAAAATATATATATGATATATAATTATTATGTATTTCTAATGAACTTTTGTCATCTTGTTGTAAAGTCTATAGTGTATAATATAACTATATCAGCTTTCTTTTCAATTATATTTTATCTTGTATGTCTTTCCTATCCCTTTACTTTCATTCCTCATATTTTAGATATATCTTTTATGCATAGTATATTGGATTTCATTTGTTTATTCATCTTGATGGTCTTTTCCTTTTAAATGGAACAGTTAGTCCAATGATGTTTATTGTTAAATCCTGGTACAGTGTTACAGTTTTATTTCTATGTTTGTATGTTTCCTTCTCTTTTCTTTTTTTGAAACAAAGTCTTACTGCATAGTCCAGGCAGGCCTCCATGTTGCCCAGCTTGGCTTCAAACTTGTAATCCTTCCATCTCAGTGGTGCTATATTTCCTTTTCCTACTTTTCTTTCCTGCTTTTAGATTATCATCTTAGTTTGTCTAAATTGTCTTTATTTCTCCTGTGTTCTGTGAGGATAGTTCACTGGGTATACAGTCCTAAACTGATCCTTATTTTCTGTCTGCACATTGAAGTACCTGGGCTTCTCGTCCCGTGCAGGAGGTGGTAGTCCCTCTAATCATCATTCTTTTGAAAGTAATCAGCATTTTCTCTTTGGTAGCTTTTAAAATCTTCCCTTTGTCTTTGTTCTTACATAATTTCGATGTCCACTTTGGATTTCTATTTAATTACTCTGTTTGAGCTACTTTGGAATTTCTAATCTGATAAGTAACATCTTTCACAGTTTCTGGGAAAATAGTCAGCATTTCAAATATTACCCCTTTCCCATTTTTCCCTCTCTTCTTCTTAGGAACTGTGGTATCAGGGAGACCTCACTATGTCCTCCATGTGTTTTCCTCTCTCATATTTTCATCTTTTTGTTTCTCCATGTATGTATGGAAGTATATGTTTTCTTCTCCAGAAATTCATTTGTTTATTTTTTCAGTTCTACATGTTTCATTCTCATATTTAAATTACTTTTCTTACTTCCTTATACATATTAAGTGTGGTTATATTTTCTTCTTAGTAGTTCTAGTTTCTGAATTCTGTGTAGGTCTGAATCTGTTTGCTCCTCTCTCCCAGTACCCTGCTTGCTCTTGTTCACGGTAACTCGATTTCTTATGTATTTTATGATTTGTTTATGATTATGATTTGCCATGTACAGATCAATTTAGGGACAATTTAGGTGAGAAGACTGGTTTGCAGGTTACATTCTTCTAGAAAGGATTCATATTTGCTTCTTCCTGGTCTCTGAGACCACTACTAACCTGGAAATACTTTGAACGGAATCTCAGGCATGAGGTTTTTGAGACCACAAAAGTAGTTCCTGCAAAAATCCCTACATGGGACAATAAATCAGGAGATATATTTTTTTCCTCTGTACTCTACACCCAAACCTAACATAGACAGTGTCCTTTGCTATCTCCATCTTGAGAGTAGAGGTTATTTCTAATTTACCCACTCATCTTGTTGCAAATTTCTCGCTTATGCATCAGATCTTCTGTTAGATTTCCCATCCTGGGTGGGCCTTGGGTTCTTTATCCTTTGTTTCATGAGGTTTAAAATCTCAGATGCAAGAATCTCTCTGGTTTGTTCATTCACAGTCTTCAAGCTGTGAAATTCAGGTTGGTTGCTCTGTGGTTCTGGGTTCCAGTTTTCACTTGGCCTCTGGCAATTGTTTACTTTCCTGCTTGTCCTGTGATGCATATTATTATTTTTTTTCTTTTATTCATATGTGAATACAATTCATATTATTAAATAGTTATTGCATTTTGCCTGCAATTTTAAGTTTATTTCTATAGTAGTTCAAAGTGTTTAATCTACTATACTCTAGGAAGTGGCAATCCTATTTATTTTTACAAGTTCAGTTTTGCATTTTACTTTTTGTTTGTTTCTTTTCTTTAAGTGTTTTAATTTTTTTTCAGAGTTTTTAGGGGGTCTACAGGTACAAGTTGAGTTTTAACAGTCTATATTTGATATAGACTATTACAGAATGATTTGTGGTGCTTCTTCTGACATAACCAACACATATTAAGGGAATGCCTGCCAGTGCCAGTCAGTATTCTAGGAATGAGAATATAGAAGTGGACAAACAGACTAAAATTCTTCCCTGCCAAGAAGCTTAAATTTTAGTATGGAAGACATGGTTATGTAGTATGTCAGACAGAGGTGATGCTAAAGAAAAATAAAGCAGAGAAGGGAGCCTTTCATTTTTTAATAGCACAGAAATAATTTGCAGAGGAGGTGGCACTTCTTAAAGAAAAGGAGCTATGAGCCCACGAGGAAAGATGATGTTTTATAAGTGCCTAAGAGAATGAGGAATACAGGCCCTCTGAGTTTGTTTTCCCCTGGGTAAAATAACATTACTGCCTACCTCCCAGGATCATGGATAAAACAAAGTAACATTTATAAAAATGCCTGACCTTTGAGTGGTTACTCAATGAAAGGTAGTTTTCTTTCATTTTTATTCTCTATCCACATTCTTTTCAGCACTTGATGGTAAATTTGCAGTGATAGGATTCTTATGCAACACCAGGTGGTAACGTGGTAGATAATTAGCTAAGGACAAATTAAGAAAATCAGAAGATTTGGTTTAAAAAGAAAAAAAAGTGGTTCTAAAGTGGTTTTGAAAGGTTGATTTGGTGCTCTGGACTAAGGCAATAAAGCCAGGCCCTCTGCAGTTCCCGTTTAAAGGACACTTTTCATTGTATTTCATGTAGGTCAGCAGCCTCAGTAAATCTCCTCATTGTATATGTAACAGTCTGCAGAAACTTCAGTTATTGTCAAACTTATACCAAGCAGAGACATATCACATGTATCTATATATGTAATCACATATTTACTCTTATCTCTTAACCCAAACTGGTTCTAATTTTTTTAATGTCAGTTGCCAAGTTTTCTCAAGATTATTGGTGTGTCACTAAAAACGGAGGAAATGTAAAGATCAGAAAATGTGAAAGTATGAGGTTCACATAGTTTGGCTTGAATCAAGCTGAAATCTAAATTTAGAAATAAAATTAGACCCTAAAGAACTCCACTCCTTTAATGAGATTTTCTTGATTCGAGGGTCCCAAGACCTGAGTTTTAAGACTGGTTTTGATAGTAACTCACCCTGGAATCTCCTGTCTGCATCACAAGTGATTATTCTTGTGTTTCCTTGCCTTTTATGGCTGAGATTACATAGGATCTAAGTGACATCAAAGCAAGACAAGCACTAAAGATAAACAAAGGACAGCTATTTATATTTCATTCTCTTTGGGTTTGGTCTATCCCTAGTTCTCCCATTGACCATGCCCTGCTGGACATGCCCTTCCTTCGACTCCCTGAAGAAATGCCCTCTGACTTCCGAAAGCAGCTGGACCACCCATTCAGAAGACACCAGCAGTCCTAGTGTGGGCCCTTCCTATACAGACCTGCAGTTCATCCAGGTGGAGGAGCAGGCCAGCGGCAGGGCTTCTGGGGCTGACTCAACTGGTAAGCTAAAGCTCCAAGCCAGAGAGCCTTGCAAATCACTTTTAGCATAACCAGATCCTTATTAAGGTTTTTTAAATCCCTACAACCAGCTCTGTTTGCAGGATGAATTCAGGTGTAATCATCCAGTCAAAAAATCTAGCATCCAGAGTGGTTTGAAATTGCCTTGGAAAAAAAATGCATGAGCAAATTGGCTGATTGGTCAGCTGATTATTCATACTGGGAAACCATTTGACAATTATCTTAATGTGCTGTTTTCTGACTGATTGGTACAAGAACCTTGTCAATTTGTTTTTCTCCTTGGATTACTGAACTGTGTGTAATATTCAAAAGGCTGGATCTTTCCTCCTACTACCCACACAGCTTGCCTCTGCAGTGGGGAGGTGAATTTAAGCAGAAAGAAAGTAAATGTTATGAAAGCACAGCGAGAATCAGGACTCAGCCACTGTCCAGATAACACATCATTTTGCAGATAAATGCTTGACATTCATTTGTGCCTTAATTGAGCCATATGATGGTCTGTAATCCCCATGGTCTCGTTTATTAAACTTTGCAGTAGGCATAGGATGGAATGTAGCCTTTCTTTGCAGATAGAATAGGGGCCTGCCAATGAGCACTGTGTTATGGGCCAGGTTTGAAAGGGCGTTAGAAAGATGTATGTTCTTAGTGTTTTGGTTATTTGGCCCAAACCATTGTTTTCTTTTAAAAGAGGTTGTCTGCGGCCATACCACCCTGAACGCGCGCGATCTCGTCTAAAAGAGATGGAGTTAGTGCTAGTTTCTCTGTGGATTAAATTATCCAGTGTATCAGCAATATTTATTTTTCCTTCTCAAAAATGTTGTTTAGGAGTTTGTCTCTAGATAATTTTTCATATCTGGATAGCATTTGCCATCATGGTATGTGCTGTTGGATTCTACAAATATGAAGAATGATCTTGCTTGTAGACTAAAGGCTTCAGACAGGATTTGGTTGGTATTTGATAATATTGCAGGGTATCCTAGTTCATCACAGATTCTGTCTTTACAAGCCACAGTTCTCTATAGTATTAGTAAGAGATTAGTAATAGATGCCCCATTACCCCACTTCCGCTATGGGGCACAGTCCATGGGTGGAAAGACACTCACAGCAGCTGAGGCTGTTAGGAAGAGAGGCGACACCTGCCTCTTCACCTCTCATTGCCTTCAGCTTCCTTTCTAAACCTTCCAAGGGATAAGGTATCCTGTGTATGTACTGGTTAAAAATGCCTAGACTCTGGAGTTAGTGGCAAGTTCAAATCCTGTTTTTTCTGCCATATACCAGCTGTGTGACCTTCAGCAAGATCCTTACTGTGTGTGGGTGTGCTGGAAATGAAACCCAGGGCCTCCCACATGCTAGGCAAGTGCTCTACCACTGAGCTATATTCTCCAGCTACTTAACCAGATCAAGATCCCTACTATCTTTATGTAGGACTCAGTTTCCTCATCTGACAAAGGGGGACGATAGCAGTGCTTACCTCACTGAGTTGTTATCAGCTCCAAGTGAGACAATTTATGTAGAGCATCTTACCCAAAGACTCACACAGAGTAAGTGATATCAAGGATGAGCTTCTTTCCTTTCCTGCTTCAAGCTTCTCATTGCTTTTGAGAGATGTAGATTGGGCCTCTCTCTGGAGGAAAAGTAAGGCTGATTTTTTTTAGTGACCACTATACTTCTGTCTTAGTACAGAAATTTACTTTAATTCTTGGAGATTCAAGTGATGGAAATCAGAGCATTGTTGTTGTGGTTATTATTATTACATGGCTGGAGACCAAACCCAGGGCTTTGAGCATGCTGGGCAATGACTGCCACTGATTGACTCCCAACTCCTTAACTAGACATTATTAATCTGTCGCCAAAGCTTCTAATTATTTTTAGCATGTTCCTTTTCTAAAGTCATTCTACAGATCACATTAAGAAAACCTCCCCTGACTTGTTTTGGTCAGGGTCCTGGCAGAAAGCAGATGATGCCCTAGAAAGAGTTTATTTGGAGAAAATTTAATGAAGGGACTGTTACAGAAGAAGTGGGAGCTGGAATAGTAGAACAGCTGACCAGGGCTCTCTCTGGCGGCACAGTGTGTGAGGATAACAACTGGGGCTGATGCTCAGTGTTGCCCCTCTGTGTGCAAAGGCATTATGGTGCCCCAAGCCTAGCCTGTTTCCCTTGGCCCCCCTTACTTGGTAGTGTGCTACAGCAAGCTGAACCACAGCCTCCGCCCTGTCATCTGTGCAGGAGTTCTGTAGGGATTTGGCAACCCCACAGGGCAGTCTGATTTGCAGCATAATTGTGGAGGCAAAGATTCTGTGATCAGCTTACACTTTCTTCTCATTTTCTCACCAAGGGGATAATTAGAGGAGGAAGACAAACAAATCCCCTCGCCTTGGTTGGATTACAGGATATGAGGCAGAGTTGGAGAGTAGTGTTGATGCTTGCTTTGGGGTTCAGCTCTCCAGTGCAAATGGCAGGAGAATTGGGAAAAGGCAAGATCCCAAAAAACACTCGATTCTCTGTCACTCCTGTCTCCCCAAGGGACTCCTTTGCCTAGACAAGACAGGCACACCCTGTCATCCTCACCAGGCAGAGTACTATGTGATGTCACTGGGTTTACATGGATTCATAAACAGCAAGGGGATCAATGGGGCAAAAACAAGCCTCAGCCTTTGAAGTCCATTCCAAGCAGGGAAGAGAAAACATAAAAACGTATGCAGTGGCACAAGCTTCTGTTAAGTGGTGGACTTCAGGTTTGGTGTTCTTTTTTTGTATTTAAGAAAAGTATATATATTTAAGTGTAGGATTAGAATGCTTAGTATGTATAGGCAAACTGAGGAGTGTGCAGAATGAATGAGGCACATATTGAGTGTTTAATAATCATCTGCTGAATGGATCCTCAAAAGAACAGTGTGAGACTGCAGGTGGCAAGAGTCACTTGTGTCCCAGACATTTGTATACCATTTGCATTTTAAGAGCCCAGCATTTCACAAAGTATGTCCCATGCAGTAGGCCAAGAAAAATCAGGACACTGGGAGCCAATATGTTAGGTCATGGTCTTCCACTTCTGTTGGAAATCTGTAACATATACTAGCTTATCAAAGACTTTGATAGGTTCTGAAATTACATGTATGTATTATATATAATTTATATTTACCTATGTATGTATACAGATATTTATGTACATATACATAAACAAATTTAGTCTTCTTATACTAGTTTTCTTATGCCTACCTGGTCAGATGTCAATATATAAAAATCCAAACACACGTAAATTGGCAAATTGGAATTATGCACTTACTAAAGTGTTGGGAAAACAGAATCCATAAAGAAATATTTTGGTGAACTTGCCTGGATTAGTTAGCTTTATAAAGTTAGCTCTACATTGTCTCATGTTCTCCTGCATTTCTTGGTCTTAAAAAAATACACGTTTTTTTTAAAATTCTAGATCCAGCAGACCCAAGACTACATTGTGCAAAACCTTTGTATGTAAACCCTATGAACATTAAAACAAACTTAGGCCTGATGTTCCTGATTCGTTTGCATTTAACTGATCACAGTGGAGTTCTGACAAAGTAGTAAAATCCCTAGAGACTTGGGACTCTGGTTTTCTTTCTTTTTTTTTTTTTTCTTTCTCAGAAACAAGTGTTTATGTCAGATAGGGATACCTTAAGTTTGTGACAACTTCTTAGATGTTCAGAAAGGTTCTCATGTCATTATTTGCTAAGGTTAGAATGAAAATATCACCTACCCTTAGCTGCCTGTCTCTTTACAAGATGTAACATGCCTGTCTATTACCTGATTTGTCCTAATCCTGCTGCAGCTGGTACAGCTTAAACCAGAATCAGGGGCCCAGATTCACAGGTAAACAGTGATTATCATGAGTATGATGGGATTACTAGGAATTTTTCTTATTCTTAAGGTACATCTGTACTTTCTGATGTTTTTTTCATTGAATATATTTTGCTTGGAAAACAAAAATAACTTTTAAAATTCTTTCTTCTAACTAAAAATTCCAGAGATAACTCATAATCTTTCTGAACAAAAGTTTCCTTCTTCACATTGAGAGAGTATTAGTGTTTTTTAAAAACAAATTGTATCTTTTATCTCTTTCATGAACAAATACAAATTTGACCTTGTTTCTATTCTGTATATTCTTGTGTCCATTAGTTGTCCATTTGAGATTTTAGTCATACACATACACAGATACACTCACACATACACTCAAGAAATTCTAATGTTTGCTTTCTTTGAAAGTTTCTACAGAGAAGTATAAACATTTCTCAAGACACAAATGTTTATGGAGTTCCTATCATTTACCAGTCATAGAATACAGAGAAAAGTTAGTTATGTGGTATTCTCCCTTGCAGAACTGATAATCTGCAAACAGATTTTTTTTTTGTCATTAAAAAGGATTTTTATATATAATTTTAAATATTTCTATTTACAGAACACCTGCTATGTGCCAGGAATGTGCCACACACATTATGTATACATCATTTCATTTAATGATGAGCACATATTTCTATGTCATTTTATAGATGCAGAAACAACAGCTAAACAGATTAAATGACTTGGCCAAGGTCACACAACTAAAAGGGGAAAAACAGGGATTCAACCCAATTATCTCTCCTTTCCTCTCCTCTCCTCCCCCTGCCCTATATGTGGTATGCTGCCAAAGGCTGGTATGGATACAGTGAGTTATACGAAGGAGCAATTACAGAGCCTTTCCCAGTCCTGGTGCTGCTTCCCTGGCATCTCCCAGTTGCAATATACAAACCTCCCATCTGCACTTATTTCATGGCAGAACAAGTATTTGTTTAGGATTTTCCCACTAGGCCTTCATGGAAGCGTACTGCCTGGCACATTGAAAGCATGCAGTGGGTCTTTGTGAAGTAAACTAACTTCACATATAGGGTTGAACCAAACCTGTACTCCAATTCCCTATGCCTCCATGTGTTTTTCATTGAAATGTAACTTCATGATTGGGAAGGATTAA